TATTAATAATATTAATAAACATACATATATATATATATATATATATATATATATATATAATAAGATTAATTTTAATTATTATTTATCAAAATTAATTTATACTGAACTATAATTAATATTAATGAGATATCACAAAAGAAGAATTGCTAAAATCATATCTATCACATTTTCGAGATTACTGTTTTTAAGGGCTCCCTTTCCTTGATCCTTGATATCGAGTGATCGATCTAAAACGCTGTCTCATGCTGAAAAAGCATAGAGATGGCAAAGTCTGTTGCGGCCCTTAGGGTAGCGGGCACTCGGACGAACAGTCGGCGGAAGCGACGATTTTAAGTGCGGACTGAAAGACATATTTCGGGATGCGTTCTATATTTATACACACTGGGTGTACACATCTATGCGCGCGAGAGCGCCGAGCGATTTACGAGTCTGCGACTCTCTCGACATTCCATACGACTTTCTTTGTGCTTCCCTCTCATGATGCGTACGTGCCGTACGTCGCTCTGGAATCCCGTTTACGGAATGCGTGCGAATTTTCGTTCAGTGACTTTATCTTCGACCAGACCGACAACACATTCGGCAACATTCGTGAATTTATAAGGCGCCTAAATTATGACGCTGTCATCTAATATGAATTACTGACCGCCGCTGACCGTGACGTTATTCCAAAAGCATGTGCGTTACCGGAATTAAATTGTTTATTCGTGAATGTAAAAAAAATATCGTATAAAACGTCTACAAAAGGAGACTAAAAACATTTATATATTAATATTTTTATTTTTTTTTATTTTTTATTATTTTATTAACTCTTAAGTTATTAAATGGGTAATTTGAGCTAATGAAAATTTTCTTTTAAAATATTGGAAACAATCCTAAAATAAATAATATATTTAAAAAAAATAATTAAAACTGAAGCACGCATAAAGGAAGAAAAGTGCAAAAATGAATAAGAATGTATATATTTGATATATGTATATGCTTTTACATATTTTATCATTATACAAAAAGAAATTTACAAACACAAAGCAAAGAATATGATGGAGTGAAAATTACATTGTCTACATATATTACAATCGTAATAATTTGTCTAAAAGGAAGACGCGGCTTACGAGAATACAGCGTGACATATAAGACTTCGATCTAGGATTATTCACGCGCAGGATGTAAAAAGTAATTCCGAGTTAAGAATATATTCAAATTCAGTCGGCCTTGCCAACGCTAGAGAAATGGTGAAGAGACAGACTGCAGTTATAATTCAAGAAAGCATCCGCCTTGGCAATCCGCGGTAACATTCCGCATAGTTATAGCTTGTATGTGCCGTTTTCGGCTTAGCATCATTACGTGTAATTTATAACGATCAGTAGGCACCTCGCTAGTTTCACAGTCAATAGAGGAAACTTATCGCGATTGCACATTAAGAGATCTGACAGCCAAGCATTTCAACTTTCAACATAGTTTGGAACTGTATAGTCATCAGTTCCTGTGAAAGCTTTTACCATCAAGCTCTTTGACTTATTGTTTTGCTACGATAAATATAGCTGTATTCAATTTTCTTTCATAACACACCGAATAGCTGTGATCTCTTTTAACGATACGTGATGAATATAAATATCAAAAAAATTATATTCCATTATTTAAAACTGAAAGATTTTGATGAAAAATTACGATAAAGTATACAATAAAATCATGTATCTAAAATGTAATGTATTAATTTTTTAAATAATTTTATTATAAATTAAACGTAAGAAAATCTTTGAAATCCTAGCAATGTTGCATATCTCTCTTTCTCTTTCTTTCTGAAATGAACTATAAAGCATCAAAAAGATTCTACGTAACCGTAATAATTTTAATATAATTCTGAATAGAAATAAAGAGCTAGATGAGAAACATATCGCGAAGTCACAAAATTGTTATTCAAATTTTTAATTTTCTTCTTGAGGACTACTATATAGATATTACTTTTGTATTTACTCAACTCTATTATTTTTTCCAAGACTATATTCGAAACATGAACGAATTAAACAATGCCGACAAGTGTTATCCTTCGAAGCAATTTAAACGTGTCATTACCAACTTTCCTTCACAATTTGCATATACATATATTGTTAAAAAATGGTAATAATTCAATCGACCAATTCTGGCAAATAATTAAATTTATTGAATTTTCACAACGTTTCGGCCGTGGGTTTCGGCTCTTATCAAGTGCTATAATATAATATTAAAATTCAATAAATTTAATTATTTGCCAGAATTGGTCGATTGAATTATTACCATTTTTTAATTATCATCTGGTGACTTCATAGTTTTATATCATATATTGTTAAATTCCCTCGTGTTTTTCGCTAATTAGAGGGAGAGATTCTCCTCAGGGTCAGAAATTTATTCGTGACATTCCGCGTAATCTCGTGTTGGCAGCGTTGTTTTCGGCACAAATATAATACATACCGTCGCGTCGCGCGATTTAGAGTACTCGGCGCGCGAAATCGGCATTATTAAGATTATCCACATCAGGATCCCTTTCGCGAACGGAAACATGGTCCGTACTCTCCCGTAGGATTTAAACTCGCGTACGATGCAACCACTCGACGTGAAAATTTATGTGGGTTATAATTCACGTATGTCCGACTGCGCTTCCACGCTTTCGCTAATCTTTCGCTCGTTTCCTCGTTTATGATTTGAGAATCTGAATATCTCTCTCTTTTATACCGGCGCGTATGTAGAAGAGAAAATGTCAAATAATAACAATAATTCAATATAGAAGCAATAATTAGAAAAAAAATGAGAAATAGTTTCGAAGGAAGAAAAATAACAGAGAAATGATTTTTAATGTCATAAATATTTGAGAATTTAATTTTTACTTATTTTGACAGATTTGACATAGACAGCCAGATTTTTGGTGATCATAGTGCGGTTATAAATGCAGCATTTATTTCAGATAATCTCATCTTTTGTCATCCATGTCGTCGATTGTTAAATATCGTCCTCGCTAATACTCGCGTCTTAATGAAACGACGTAATTGTTATTGCGGTCGTTAATTGTTTCTCGAAGCTCAGACCTCCGTTCGTAATTGATGGTCATTAGAACATGCTGCGTGGCTTCGCGAGGGTGGATCGAGACGGAAATCGATTGACATATCTGCGATCGTCGGGGCCTTAATGCGGTCAATGGACCGTTGCGTGCGGCCCTTAATTAGTTAGTCCTCTTCAACGAGCTTGATATTACGGATCCGGCGATAAGACTGCATGCGCAGACTCACAGGAATGCACGGTATACGAAGGATAAACGTGGAGATTATATGAGATAATAAGCAGGTTCTGTTAAGTTTTCAGTTTTCTTAATAAGTAGTTTCGTAAGATCGTTTGATTTTAATTTCTTCTGGATTTGTTTTACTTCTTGCGATATAGAGAAAAGTACCTGTAAGATATTATTGAAGATGTTATTAAATTAAATTAAGAACGCTATAATACTAAAGATATCTGGTCATTATGTAAACTTGTCAATCTAAAATCATAAATTTGATATATTTATCTGTGTGTCAGAAAGAATGAATGGTATTTTATCGAAATAGATTAATATTTTTCTAATAGATCTTTTTGTCTCAACAAATATTAATTTTTTTATCGTTGCAACTGAAGCATTGTCATAAATCGATTAAAGGAAGAGATTTTAATTATAATCTATTGATACTTTTAATTTATTCTTAATATAGTGACTTAATTATTTCAATAATATCTCTTGGAAATTATGTTCTTTTTTGAACATGAAATTATTTTAATGAATCTAAAAGCGTTGGTTTATGAAAGATCTTTCTATCTCAATAAACGGACGATAAAATTGCTTTATAAATTTTTAAAGAAGAAAAGTCAGTAATTTTAACTTATACGTTATAGGAAAATCTATTGATACTTTCAATTTATTCTTAATATAGTAACGTAATTATTTCAATAAAATCTCTTAGGAATTGTGTACTTTTTTAGCAGACGTAATTCTTATTAATTATTGCGCTTTTTTCAAAATTATTTTAATAAATCTAAAAGCGTTGGTTTATAAAATATCTTTTTATGTCAATAAACGGACGATAAAATCGTTTAATTATTTTTTTTGAAAGAAGAAAAGTCAGGAATTTTAATATACACGTTATAGGAAAAATTGCGCTTTTTCAAAATAATTTTAATAAATCTAAAAGCGTTAGTTAAATATCTTTCTCTCGATAAACGGACGATAAAATTGCTTAATTATTTTTTTTTAAAGAAGAAAAGTCAGGAATTTTAACATACACGTTATAGGAAAAATTGCGCTTTTTTCAAAATTATTTTAATAAATCTAAAAGCGTTGGTTAAATATCTTTCTCTCGATAAACGGACGATAAAATCGCTTAATTATTTTTTTGAAAGAAGAAAAGTCAAGAATTTTAACACACACGTTATAGAAAATTGCGCTTTTTTCAAAATAATTTTAATAAATCTAAAAGCGTTGGTTAAATATCTTTCTCTCCATAAACGGACGATAAAATCGCTTAATTATTTTTTTTGAAAGAAGAAAAGTCAGGAATTTTAATATACACGTTATAGGAAAAATTGCGCTTTTTTCAAAATAATTTTAATAAATCTAAAAGCGTTAGTTAAATATCTTTCTCTCGATAAACGGACGATAAAATCGCTTAATTATTTTTTTTGAAAGAAGAAAAGTCAGGAATTTTAATATACACGTTATAGGAAAAATTGCGCTTTTTTCAAAATAATTTTAATAAATCTAAAAGCGTTGGTTAAATATCTTTCTCTCGATAAACGGACGATAAAATCGCTTAATTATTTTTTTAAAGAAGAAAAGTCAGTGATTTTAACATATACGTTATATAGGAAGTGATGCGTGTGAAACGGTCGTGGAGAAAATACTAAATAAAGGATTACGTTATTTAGGAGTGCTTAATTCGGCGCCACCTGTGCTTGTGATGGCTTGAGCGCGGGTGTGCGCGCGCGTGAGCACTTATGAAACCTGCGCGGCACGCGGCTCGGCGGCCAGTCTGATTCCTCGTCGCAGTGCGATACGGTCGATAGAGGTGAGCCACGTAACGCAACCACAGTGGTTGCGGTGAATTGCAGTGACAAAGCACCGTATGGCATACTCGAAAGAATCACCCTCGCCGCCCCGTTAGCCACTTTACGCGCTCTTCCACCCTCTCGATTTCGGGATGAGCTTCTCGTTCAGTCCGCTCGCGGATGCTGAAGAGATCGCCGCCACGTGAACGTAAGAGTGACGTTAGAGTGCAATTCTCGGAGTATCGGGATTATGACAACAAATTTTATCGCGTGTTAACGTAGGATGATCTTTTAGTTCTTTCCTTCATTCTGCGGAAGAATTTATATCTTCACATTTATGAACATGATTAAGCTACACGAGGACTTTCGTTGACCGAAAGTTATCGCGAAAACTGTTGACAGTTCTGTTTTTTTTTTTTTTGCGAATAAAATTCAGAATAATTTTGTATTTCTTGAATAAACGTCGTTCACTGTCGACCTTGTAATAAAGATAACAAGCTGTCTATGCATTTATATAAGTTTCTAAAGCTGTTTGAAAAACGGAGAAATTTACAAGTGTATGAGGAATCCTTAACGAATCATCAGAGAAATCGGAAACGACCGATTTGCCACGATCACGTAAATCCTTTTATTTTACGTGTGGAAGTCGACAGTTGGAAAATTACGGTTGACAAGATTTGCACAGATCATCCATCGATCACTCTGGAATTTCCTGACGCGAAACCGTGACACAACCGTGACATAAATTCGCGGCAAAAAAAGGAGGTAAAAGAATTGTCGAAAAACTGTACGACGAGGAAGGTATACAAACAAACACGCTTGAACGAATATCAACCAACGGATAAAGCTTCGTGCAAACAGAGGTGATAATGTCACCATGCCGTGACATTGAACGCTGCTGTGGAAATTGTTTACGTATCTCGGGCCGGCATTGATATCAAGACACTCTACTGAATTTACGACACGAGTTCACGATCAGAATTCTGATCAGAAGAGAAAATACCGTCTCTTTGTCGACTGATAAATTCATCGCGATTCATTCTAATCTAAAGAGCCACAGTTTATTTGCCGAGCAAATCTACGGAACCAGTCCGGAATAATGCTCTCAATTATCTCGAAGCTAGCAGACTCGTCTTCTGTCAGATATCCTCGAGATACCACCGAGTCGACGTGAGAAGAGAACGCGTGTGAACTACAAAGCTGCAACTTGAGGGTGGATGGTCGACGTGGACAAAGAGACGCCCGCCAAGTATCGATCGACCTGTATCTTGAAGAGGATGCTCCCTTCGGTTTCATAGAAGTAGAGTGCATATCGTAGCGCATCACGCGTCGCGAGGGCAGAAACGCAACGAGGATAGAGCTAGAGGGTGAACGAGGGAGAAGGAAAGAGACGGCCTGCAGCAGGCGACGTCATGGACAATCGATTTACTGTCGACCATCACCCTCCCGCGACAACCACCCGACGCAGTGCAATGACCTCTAAACCGGGAAGAGCCTATAATGTGAGGTAAGTTGCTTCTCTCGTGGTAGGAATCGCGTGAGAGTCGCGACAGGAGAAGAAAAGGGGAGCAGAGCGATGAGATGACGAAGCGAAGAAAGAGGCTGGCCTCCTCGAAGAAAATAGCCGCTGCTTCTTCACGCGGTGTTCCGACGTCTACGACTTTCACGACGTTTTTCTTTATTTTACTTCCGGCCTCGGTTTTCCGAAGAACGATTTTAAGCCCTGTTGCTTTTATTTAATGGAAAGAAACTCTCGTTAAGTTGATGCTTTACACGCGGCGCGCTATGCTATTTCGTCCAGACAGATGACTAATGAGCAGTTTATTGTATGTCGAGATATATTTTATATTTAATTATTCAAGAGTATTCAATATAATTAATATATAAATTAATAAGTATAAATGTTTCATTTTACCGTGTTGTTAAATTATTTTATTTTATTTTTATATAACTTCTTCTGAGAATGTGTTGCATTTAATGTCTAAAAAGAATTATATTGCATTTAAAAAAATGAGAGAAAGAGAGAAGAAATATGAAGAATTTTATATAAGAAAAAATGTAATTTTTATTTAATAATTTTGTTAACAATAGAACAATTTAGAACGCAAATTGTGTTAATTGCAACTTGCTTGGAAAAATAATTTTAATATAATAATTATTGAATTGATATTTATTAAAAAATATTATAAAGACCAACTTAACTAATATTTCCTACATTATTTTCTACTCGTTTATGTTCTGCATTGTTTTACGTAATTTATACTCTTAACAATAATCGAAAAAAAATAATTAATTGAAGTTAAGATTAAAATATCTTTTATTTATGCTAATTCCTTGGAGGAGACGACTGAAAGAGTTTACATTTTAGTTTTCAATTAAAGATAAAGAAGTTTTTGAAATATATGTTTATTTTATGTTTCACTTTTGTTCGCTTCTTTTCGAGGTCGAGTTTTAAACCGAGCATTTTAAAGCTGAAAGCAAGGTCGTCTGTTTATAATACGACGCAAGCACGATTCCACAAAAATGCATCATTTAAACGCAGTATTTATAAAATTGCATACATAAATGTGACAAAATATTACCATTATCGCACGTTTGACTCAGCATTTAAAATCAGAATAAATAAATTACATTCTCATCATTTAATGCGTGAGAAATACAACTGTCTGATTTTAGATATGTATATATACTGAATATACAATGTTATCCATTGTCGGATATAATTAAGAATTACACAAACGCATTTAGTATTTTAAACATATAATTTGAGCGCACAAAATATATGCTATTCTAAAAGCGTTGTTAAATGTAGGTGTCTGATTTTGGGTTTATTTGTTAAATAAAGGATCGCGTAAAATGTCAATACAAGAGAGTTACCACTTTTAACATTGAATATATATAGAATCTGTAAATCAAAATGCATATATGTATACATATATATACATTCGCAGAATTAATGTGCACTGTCTGATTTCGCGAAGAGAAGAGTTCGCCGGCGGACGTTATGAGATAACTGACAAGTATAGTTATTATTTCAAACTCAGAGACTCCTTTATGTCCGAGTACGCTTGGGTCTTTAGATTCTCTTGGGAATTGAGAGAGATCGCCGCATTTTGCTAGAGATCTCTTTTCCTCTCTGATTATGAATGTGAATAAAAAAAGAAACAGTCGCGAAACCAGTTTCAAACATTGGATTGAAATTCACGTCCGTGATTATTAAGAAAAAAAAATATTTATTTTTTACTTTACAGATAAAATCATTATAGCACTTGAGATTAAAAATATAATATAAAAATCCAGCTAAACGAATAACAATTTAATCCACGGATTTATTACAGTAATTGTGTGTTAATAAAAAATAATAATAAGATTTTAACAAAAAAAGTGATCATGACCCAACAAATGAATTAATATGGAACAGTTTTCTTGCATCTATTTATTTTTTGCTCTTTATTTTTCTTGATAATTATTTCTTTTTTTTCATAAAGGCCACAAAGTGATATTTTCCATTTCAAATTGTATTTAATCGTAATAACTCAGAAAATATTATATAAGCATAAATAAATAATAAGTAATAATTGCCAAAAATTCTGTGTTTTATGCGTATTGCTATTTTATTCATATTTCTAATTTCGAAATATATTAATACATGCACATATAAAGCTTTTTTAGTAGAAGATAATTTTCTATAACAAAGTTATAACTTCCATCGAATCTTTTTATGAGATAATAAATATTGTTAGACTGACTTTTATGTGAACGAAAACGTCAAGAAAAGTTGTCCTTTATCACTCGAATTTACGCGATTGTCAATGTCGATCTTTACTCTTAGAATCTCGATTCGCTTTTAATCTTTTTTTTTTTCAATTTCATGATTGAGTTCGCTCATTATTACGGGTCAAAGCAACATGTGCCAGAGCGTTAAATTACCTACTTTCGAGGCCTTCGGGGTGATTTAAGTGGATTTTATTGTAACCGGTAACAGCAAGTTTCCGTCGTTTGTTCAATCCACGTGTGATGATGTAAATTTTTTTTAGCGATATCTTATGTAACGCAATTAAATCTGAAGATGTGATGCACATAAAAGTGAGTACGAAGGCAAAGGAAAAGGAAATGGATTTGAGAATGAATAGAATACCAAAGCGGATCGCTGTTGTATATCTCGCGGCAAAAATGAGTTATTGAAGAATAACGTCATCAATCTTGAAGTTGACTTACAACGAATATAAAAGGGAAGAGAATTTTATGCCAAGGAGAAGTTATGGTGACATGCACACAATGCATCTTTTTATGTTTATATATGTACATATATATTATAAATATTATATATTATATTACGTATATATAATATTATATATACATATATAGACGATAAAATGAAGTATATTCACATTCGAGTGCGAATAAATTATTTCTATTTTTTTACTCTGACTAATCGATCAAAATCTACAATATATAAGCAAATTTCAGCAAATTATTATGAAATTTAATTTCCACACAAATTATATCGTAATCACCTGAGATAAGTATAAGACTCAATTAATATCAAAGGCAACGTGTCATTAATCACACACACAGCAAGCGTATTAAATCTCGTACATTAAAGAAATATGCTGCAATTACGTAAAAAGGAAAGAATACATGGCTACGAATATATGAAATGTCATACACATGAATAATTGCCGCTAGAATCGTAGTGTGTATTAATATAATGAAAATATTACGTTTTGTGAGACGCTGTACATGAAATTGCAAATCCATTTTTCATCTTTAGTTATACATACTATAACATCTTACTCATTAATTAAACATTTATTGATCAATTTGGTATTAATTTGTAAAAATAATAAAATGTTAATATTCTTTGAATTATATATGATTAAATACTCTCATTCTTTTCAAAAAGTTTTAAATAATGGAATTAATTTTTTAATTTTTTCTTATTTAAATTCACAGACGAAATTTTAATGCAATGGTTATATATAATTGTATATAAAAACATATATTTAATTATATATAAAATATTACAACACTTATTATTTTATATTGCACTGTCAAAAGCTTATTTAATAATGTTATTGTGAAAAAAAACTGTGAATGCAGCTAATAATATCAATCAATATACGATAATTTTAACGAACGACGCATATTTTCATTACTATTGTAAATTGCTATGTTAGATTTGAGTCATAATAAAAGGTGTGGCGTGGGAAGCTTAAGAACTTGCCGGTCTTATATATTCTTCTTGCATGTATCTTTCACTCGTTGTCATTATGCTTGTACATTTCTTATTATCGTCCGTGGTTCATCGCTAGCACACTGTTCTGCTCTGTTCTATTGTCTGTAGTCGAGAGTTAATCTCTCGATTCTCTGATAAAGTACAGTTGAATTAATGAATACGCGCAGCTTTCGACAAAAATGACAGTAGATTAAAAATTCGGCCATTTTTTTAGAAAATTTTAATGTTATTATTATATTATATATAGGTTGATTGTTTCTGTAGAGATTTGTTTTTGAAAATCGACAATGTTATTCTCGCTGGAAAATTTTATCAATAAGTTTTCTCAAGACGTACATAAAGTTTTTAAATTTTAAACAGACTTGTGTTTATATAATTATTAAACATATAAGAAATATATTTTCTTAAAAATTATTAGAAGAATATTTCAAGCTTTACAATTAGTTAAAGCTTTGTGGGTTCGCAATTGTTGAATAGATTGTTAAACTGCTCTTCTTCTATATTTTTTAAAAGATAAGAGTAACATAAATCTTCTAAACAAACTGTAATGTGTACGCTTGATATGTATGTTATCAGTGGAATAGACGTATCGTAATATGTACCACACCCTTTCGTTATCGTTAATAACTGAGTTATAGAATAGCAAAAGAGCAAACCCTAAAATAAACTAGGTCCCTGATAACTTTCATCTGCTATAATATGGAGAGAAACGTAAGATTATTGATAGACTATACATACATACATATATATATCACAGTTATACAGCTTATCTTTTTAAAAAATTATACATTTCTATTGATATTTTGCCGCAATATTATTCGATATTGCTCTAATAAAATTCTAAATTTCAATAAATTTTAATAATATTAAATATATTTTAATGATAAAAATTGTAATACAATTTATGCTTGAACGAATAAGACATTAAATTTTGATTGGTCTTTCTCGTTTTTGCAATTTTGAATAAAATGTTATAGAATACAAGTTACACTAAATAACAATAAAATTAATAAGCTAAGTCTCTTATAATAATAATCAAATGAAGAGAGAACAAAGTGAGAGTGATCACCGCAATAATTATCACGAAGTAAATTTATTCAAAGGTCAAGTAGATTTATTCGATAGTTAAATGTTTTAAGGTGTACGTTTCGACCCCTTTCTTTGGGTTATCTTCAACGCAATAAAATTGCGATTAAATTTAAAATAAAAACTAACAAATAAAATTTTTAAAAATATTAAAATTTATCTTTATAAAAGTAATGTGTGAA